GAATACAGGGAAGACAAGCTCTCGATTGCCCGTGTGTCCTTGTCTTGGGAAAATTGATTCGTACGCTTTCTCCATCGGTATTTCATTCGACGTTTCGGGCATCGCGTTGCTACATTCCCGACGAGTTTTCTTTTCGAGTCAAGAACCGGAGGAAAGAAAATATCGTACTTTTAGTTTTATATTCCTTTCGTTCTCGGCGATTCACAGCAATTGTCTAACAATTTTCCTGGAGTAACAAAATTGTTCTTTTATCCACGATTTCACGCAGCATTCGATTTCATATCGACATGTTTTACGTTAGAACTAAATAAGATTCAATCGGGCTGCAATTAATACAACACCGTTAATGAACACCAACTGACTCGTATTTTATTTAATAGGTGAAATAGCGCTCGCAATAGGTATTCCAATTGTGTTTTGTAACAAACAGCAACGGCTGGGCCAGACTTGTAGCAACGGGCTCGTGTAGAAATGTAGGACCGGATTATTGGATGCTACGTGTGTTCGGCCGTGGTCGCCGTTGTGAAATAAAACACGTTACCTTGTAATTAATTACGTAACTAATAGCAGCTCGCGTTCAGTTGTTTAATGAGCGCCACTGTTAATAATTGGAAACGTCGGGCTTTTTTCTTTCTCGTAGTACGTTCGAATATATACCGCGATGACGATTGTTAACGCCAACCAAATCCACTCGCTTCGTAATTGTAAATCGTAAAAATGTCAAATGAGAGAACGCAAAGGTATTACGCGGGTTGTTACGCTGTGTATGCTCAAGGTTCGACGTTCTAATTTCAAGCGACGAGATAATCGCTTGTATTAAACGAATACAAAGATGATAAAGCGGGTGTTAAAGTTTCCACGTTTACACGATGCGTGTCAAGTATACACGAACGAGTCAAAGTCAACGTTTAGCACTAGTTTAAACACGGCGCAATTTTTAAACACGAGGTACAAGTTCATAATCGCTGTCGTGGACAATCGCACGGGTTCGTGCGGACGGCATTATACAATGGCAGAGTTTCATGGAAGTAGTAATCGCGTATACACCCACACGTTAGCCACCTTTGCCGTACTCCGTTCGGTTCTATTCGGTGTTTACGGCTGGGGGCATTAACGGAGAAAGAGAG